ATGATTGGCACATTTAAATGTTATATGAAAGCAAAGCTTGATGTACACTTGAGGGCACGCACATACTTTAATGTATGTGACATAAACACAATTTGAGAAAAACCATTGTGAAGTTGTAGTATTCCATAATGTTTGATAAATCCTATTGTAAAATTGAAAAAATTCCTATAAATAGAGAAATTATCATGGTATGGGTAACTAGCATTTCCTGCCGTGAACGGAAGTTTCCAATCCCTTTGACCCTTTCATTTACTCTATTATCTATGATGTAACTTAAACCATAAACCACACCTAGACTACTGCAAGAGCCACAAAGGAAATTTGGTCTAGAACTAAAGCTCACAACAGAATAAAGCCTTTTCTTGTATCCATCCAAAGAATATTCTAACTGCAAACTAAGTAAAAAGATACAATGCCAGTAATTTTAAAGACAATGCATTATGAATAATCATTAATTATTGTTCTTTTTTATACATTGTGACACAGTTGATAGTTTGTATAGTAAGGAAGGAGCTACAATGCAAGCAGCTGACAAGTTACACAAGTCATAAGTGTAGTTTACTTATAATACAATATATTATATCCTCTTCTCAAAGGCAATCACAAACTTCAACTTATTATTATTATTTTTCATATAACATTAGTAAAAGTATAGAGCTGCCAAAAGGTTGCTTAGAATAGAGAGTCTCAAATTAACAAGTAGCCAATAAATTGATTTACAACAGATGTGTACCGTATAGGGGGTATATTTCACTGAAAAATGTTTGTTCTAAGCAGGATTAGAAATTTTCATTCATTTTATTTTCATTCTGAGCAGCCATTTTCTAAACGTGGCATTGAGAAAATGCATTTTTCATTTGGAAAATATTTGTTTCACAAAGAATGAGAACAAAAAGAAAGAAATTAAACTCTACCATTAGATACAGGATTTATCATTTTGCGGACCTCTGTAAAACTCCGGTTTTTAAGCATACAATCAATATAAATATGACAAATGTGCATCACTGAGGCAGCAGGTTTATGGTGGCTCAGTGGGGAAGGCGTGTGGCTGGATTTACCTATGTGTACTGGTTCGAATCCAGCAATACTCTTTTTTTTAATTTTTTTACTACTTAGTACTTACTAGTACTTAGCTATGTCCCATACTTATGTTAGGAGTCCCCTAGTTGGCTATTGTTTTAGGGTGGCGGTTTTTTTAGAGCGTCCCTACTCATTTTAGGAGTCCCCAAGGTTGGTTTAGGGTTTAGTTTTTTTTTTTTTTTAATTTTAGAGTGTTCCCTAGTCATTTTAGGAGTCCCCAGTTATGTTATGTGAGTGGTAGAAATAGCCACTGCCATAAAAACGGAGTTTTACAGAGATGCACGGAATTTCTGGGGTGCCAGATTTTTCTTGGCATCCCCTCAGGACTGTTCCTCTCCTCTGCTCTCTACTTTATTCTCTACTCTGTCCTGTAAAATTTTTGATAATAATAATAATAATAATAATGATAAATCCTGCGCCTAATGGCTTTAAAGTAAAATCATAGGCAATGTTGAATATTACCTTATTCTCCTTATTTTACCATATACAGATAGAACCAACTTTCCTCCTTGCTATTATCAAGAATGAGCTTCATCTGTGCTTCTGTTTAGGAGATACACATCTACTTGCACAGCCACCATCTTCACTTTTTAACCACAAAGCAACTTTGATTTTTGTGCAAATGATTCACAGCGGTGCTGGATTTTTGCCAAAGGGTCTGGTACTGTACTTACCTTTGCTTAATACATTGTGAGACTCCTCAGTTGCTGGGTCTTATTTTATTCAGGTAAAATTCCCCTCAAACTTGCTATGTTTTTCAGAAATTGCCTAATTATCAGCTTATCAGCTACATGTGATTCAAATTTTAAATGATTTTAATTATATTTGTAAGCTATTGGCGATGAATATCATTTTATCAGTGATGTATCAGGAAGTGAAGCCATAGAGGACCCATTTCACAATGTATAGTGCCTTACGCCTTCGTGTAGACTGCATGCAATAAATTTAAGTTTCAACAAAATTAATACTGGTAAAGAAAATAACACTTCAAAATGTTTGTACTACATGTACATGTACATGTATAAGATAACTTAAGGAAAAAATTTGTAGTTATCGCACTGTTCTATACTAAGAGTCACACATACACACACATGCACACTTTACTACTTAACATAAATCTCATAATAACTAACAGGACTGTCTTCATCACCAGCATCAGCACACACCCTCAACTCAATATAGTCAGTAGTGGTATTGCTACCATAGTCTCTGTGAAACCATGGGATGCCAGGAACATTACAGCAAGGTGATTCATGAGAGCCACAACCTTGACCATCCCATAGTGGATCAGATGTGTAGAGAATCTGCGATGGGCTACTATTAGGATTACCAGATTCACAGAAGTAGTTATTACCAATAGAAGTGGGCACAGTTGCAGAACTCCCAGTATTACAAGGACATGAACGTGGTGAAGAACGTAATTCACTTTGACCAGCAATGAATGACCAGACTTTTTGACGGGAAGGTCCTTGAGTGATAAT